CTAATTGGTTAATCACTGAAATAGCCAATCATATATTAGCTATAGATTACATGACAGGGGCATGCCTTTTGGTTAAAGGGCATGCCCCATGGGGCATGCCTCCAACCTCCGTGCCCCCAACCCTACACGTGACCCCGATCCAAAGAACATATCGAATAATAACTGAAAGAATTAAACGATTAGTGTTAGAATTTGCAACACAACCCACGTAACGCCTAAATAGAAGTAAAAGAAGACACAACTTGACCTGAAAATAACCTCCACAAGGCCCAAGCTTTAACTACTCAGACCAGGTCTCGTCACATCTCTATTCGTTTTTAGATAGTTAGTGGCCACCAGATAGATTCCACCTTACAATATCCATAAAGTTCGCTATAAGATATTACTGTTTTTTCTTAAGAGTTCGCTACAGAGGTTCGTTATAAGAGATTACTGTATATATTTTATCAATGTTTAATATGACAGTTCTTACTTCCTGGATGATCATCCGATCTCAACCTGGAACATATTTTCCAGGTGCAATCTCTGCATATTTAAAACTTATCAATGTACAGAACTTGACTTAAATCATTATTCCTGTTAATTTTAACATTTAATCTCTGCATATGTAGCAGGTAGTTAATACGTACGTATGTACCTGTCTATTTAAACCTGAATATTAATGTACATTATTTAAATTATTGTTTCTGTTAATTTTAATATTTAATCTCTGAATATTTGTTAATATACGCACATACGTACCTATTTATTAATATGAATTTAAATCATTATTCCTGTTAATTTTAACATTTAATCTCTGCATATTTAGTTAACGTACATACGTAACTGTCTATTTAAGTTAATTTTAATAAATATTTAATCTCTGCATATGTAGCAGGTAATTAATATACGTACGTACGTACCTTCTATTTAAACCCAGATATTCATGTACATTATTTAAATTATTGTTCCTATTAATTTTAACATTTAATCTCTGAATATTTGTTAATATACGTACGTACATAACCTGTCTATTAATATGGATTTAAATCATTATTCCTGTTAATTTTAATATTTAATCTCTGCATATTTAGTTAACGTATATATGTACGTACCCTATTTAAGTTAATTTATCCAAAAATTTTTACAAAAAAAAAATAAAAATATTAAATTGTTTCTGCCTCTCCGAAAATATAAATATACCCTGGTCACTATATCAAGATCGCAGGGCATAAATCAGTTATACCCTGGGCACTATGTGTATAAGCGGGACTTTCAGCCCCGCTTATACCCATCTGCCCAGGATATAACTGTTAATAAACATTTAATCTCTGCACATATAGCAGATAATTAATAGACGTACATATGTACCTGTCTATTTAAACCCGGATATTAATGTGCACTATGTGTATAAGCGGACTTTCAGTCCCGCTTATACCCAGGATATAACTGTTAACAAATATTTAATCTCTGCATATATAGCAGATAATTAATAGACGTACGTACGTACCTGTCTATTTAAACCCAGATATTAATGTACATTATTTAAATTATTGTTCCTGTTAATTTTAACATTTAATCTCTGAATATTTGTTAATATATGTACATACGTACAGTACCTGTCTATTAATGTACAGGATTTAAATTATTATTCCTGTTAATTTTAACGTTTATTCTTTGTATATTTAGACCTGGATATGCCCGAAGATTAACTTATTTCTGGATATACTATCGACTTATCATTTTATTTCTTATTGATTATTACCTGAAGCTTTTATATAATCTTAAAATTTTAGAAAATGTAATTGAACAAAAATATAATAAAACTGGGTAATTCTTTATTTTGCAAGTAGCATTGTGTAGGCTGCAAAGCTCATTATACCTGCCATTCTAAGAATTAATATATTCATGTAACATTTTCTAAAACAATAAAAGCAATAAAATAGCTATCCTAACAGCATATGTAAGGTTATAATATAAATCATAAAATAAGTAATAAATTTTTAAATTGTAATTGTTAAAACAAATATATATATATGTATAATTTATTGGGGTTTGGCTTCTTTGCCTTTTTTGTCCTCGGTATTAGTTTTTTAAAAAATGCTAGAAAAATGTTCCAACAACTCTTCTAATTCAATTAAACATTCTAATTCGATCAAACGTTCAAATAAAAAAATAAAAGCTTTACCTAAAGATGAGAAACGCACTAGAACCAGTTTTATCTGTAAACACTTTAAAGAAGATGTAGATGAAGAGGGTATTCCTGTAATTATATGTCAAGTAAAAAATGATGGTATAAAATGTGATACAAAGTATATCTTTACCGGGTCAACAGGAAATGCAAATATCCATCTTCGAAACTCCCATGAAATATGCAATAGTGGAAAAATTAAAGTTTGTATCTATTACTATATTAGTTAATATTTAATATATATCGATATGTTTAATTAATAAAAAATCCTAATTTAGAATAAAAGACTAGCCTTATCAAGTAATAAAAAACATCCAGAGGCCCATTAGATACAACTACAA